CTGAAATCACTGAAATCACCCTCAAACTACAGACATACGTCTAAATGGACACAAATATACATATATAATGCATGTATGTATTATGTAATACATATATGGACATAAATGTGAATGTTCATGTTTCCTCCCATTCCCTCCCCGACATGCTCAGCACCCAACAAATTTATGAAGCGATAATAATAAGCTGGGCCAGCTGGACCTCATGAAAATATAACTGTACAGATTATAAAAATAAATAATAACTATTATCACAAGAAATCTTTAAATATTCATAAAAACAACAAACACAACCGTGTTTATACTGATGTTATTGTGAATAAAACGATGTAGTTGAGATGTTGGACCAGAGGATCTTTGATGGTTAATGAAGCATTTAATAGCTGAGCTGCACGTTTGCCAGAAATCTGAACGCGGTCTCACCTTCATAGCTGGGAGATTCCCGGGTGGAGCGAAGTGGTGGGGTGAGACGGGTGACAGATGCCGTGATGGATGAGAACAAAGAGAACGATGTTATCAAAATATTATTATTGCTTTCAGGCACTTAGCAACTTGGCATCTGTCTCTACATAACTACAAGTTTCATGTTTGAACAATGCTTGAGCCAGCGCTGCAGGCCCGAGCCAAACCCACACATGGAGAGCTGCAGGAAACATGAGCCCGGTCTAATTTGCTTCCCGCAGTCAACGACATGCATATCGGAGCAAATACATTTCCAAGTTCAAACATGTCCCACTGTGGCAACCCCTCAGCTTTGCAGCTGTCAGCTTTCCCACTCAGACACAGACGTGATGTTTCAGAGCTCATCTCTCAGATTTCTGCACTTCAGCAGGTAAATGTCACTGCAGGAGCAACAGCTCCCCCTGGCGGTGGAACTGCACCATTTCACAAGTGGTGAAAAACAAGTTGTGGTGAACAGCTGTTGTTAGTTACTGAGATCCAGGCCCAGGACCAAAGTCCACACACTCGGACTGGGAGACTGGTTCACATGAGCTCACGGATTCTTTCTGAGCATCTCCGCCAGCTCCGCCCAAACCATTACCCACAATCTATACATCACTGTGGCACTAAACCTGGGTTTGTAACAAACGCACAAACATGCACAGAAGGAGCAATCCACCTGAAAATGACTGGAAAACTCAGAGGGATTATTCACCAATATTGTTTTTGGATTTGTCTTAATTATTTAGTTTTGAAGTAAAACAAGTGGATGAAAGACGGAAGAAAGTCCGCAGTTCCTAAGGTCTAAGCGCCACATCCCGGCTCGTGCCGTCGTTTGAGTGGAGGAATCTCTGTGGGAGCTTTCTTTGCTCCTCCACCTCCATGTGACTCTGGAGCTGCGGCAGCTTTAAAACCCGATGAACTAAAACAACAATCTTATCAGCGACGGCTTTTTCAACCTCCTGCAGAGAAATCGGACACAGTTCATTTCTGATTTCTTTGTTTCATTTGAGCTCTCAGGGTGATGTTTGGGCTCGGGCCTCATCATGTGGATAAGAGTCTGACTCGTCTCACCGTTGGGATGAAACACTGCTTCGATGTCTTTGGCAGGAGCTGGAACAGAGGAAGGGAGGCTGGTTATTGCAACGTAATATTTACTGTTACACAACACGACACATGAAAGAGAACATGTTTTTGTTTCCTGCATTCACCCTCGTTATGTCAGGAATCTTCATCTTACTGACTGAAATACTTCAGGATTTTAATGAATCGATGTCACGTTATCCAAGCCACAATCGATTTTAATCGATAAATCGATTATCAAAACCCAGCCCTACTCCAGACCATTACAGACTACAGGACCACCAAACCGTCCCCCGCATCCTCTGATGTCTCCTTCCTCAACGAGCTCAACAACTTTTATGCTCGTTTTGAG